CGATGTTGACATTCCAAAGGACGTACCAAATATTTGACTTCACTTCAAGCTTTTGCTGCATAAAAGCATAAAACTGAAGAGTCGACTAAATTTTAACAAAGCAGTTGTCGAACTTCGTAGTGCCATGCATGAACATTATGAGCAGTTGGATGCCAACTTCAGATTTCTCTTTAGTTATATTGACACGACTCAATGAAGTTTTTACTAAATGCATTTGAGTTACATGCTGAATCGATTTCAATGCTTCAGTTAAAGTTAAAAATGACGATTTAGAAAAAAAAGAGAAAAATTTCACTAATAGTTGATATTCCTGTGAGAAAAAATGATCTCATTATTTTAAGATTCAGGAATTGATGACCGATATAAAAATTTGTTTATGTAGCGTACACAATACTATTTGTTGAGAAGACGTCTAAATTCAATTATGAAAATATACTACTCTCTACTCTTATTAGAACTTGAGAGAATATAGGAAGTGCAGTGTGGCGAAACTTGATGAAGGAAATTTCAGTGAGATAAAAGCATTTGTTTTACTGGCTTCTCCATGCTTCAGTACATGGAGCTCACACAAGAACACAGCGATAGGCAGTTGTGGTGGGAACGTTGGCAAGGTTGAAGATATTTGGTATCCTTTTAGCCACACCCACATCCATTCTCTAATGCAGATAGAATGACAGAGTTTTAATAAGAAATTAAATTTCATATCTTTTGAAATAAACATTCATACTCTATCGTGGGTGTGAACTGAGATACTCGCAAAAGATAAAATGCCATTGCAAAAGAATTGTCTCACTCGATATATGAGTATTATCAAGATACACGAGAACTCCAAAACCCACCCCCTTCCTCTTCGTACAGTTAAAGATGAGAGAAAACGAAAAAAGGAATTTTTCTCTTCTGTCTATCTTAAATGTCTGTGTATTGACTTGTTTAGATAAATGAATCAGTTTAAGACTTACAGGAATGAATGATATTACATAATGCATGTTAATATTTGGTCATATTTTTACTAAACAATGATTGTAGCAAAAGAAGCAACGAAATATTTTTTTTTCTTTTTGCTGTCATCGTGTACAATTACATCGCTTATTCTCTCTCTCTTGTTCACTATCGCAAATCATTCGTGGTCAATTCAAGGTAACGATGGTGTCAGATCAACATTGCGTTCCTGAATTCACACTTACTCTAGTAGGTGATGATGGAGTAAGAATGTTGGATCCCAATGTTTTCTGTGCAACTGAATATGTTATGACAAATATCACTATTGTAGGCAAAACGACATTTGTGAATCAGCATATGGCAGATGAAATCGAGTAGAGGTTCGATGCAACTATCTGATTCAAAGTTTACCATTACCATTCCATACCAAATTAGTTAAAATTATTTTCAATGTTTGAGACATAGCTGGTCAAGAGAAATTTGGCGATAAAGAGATTAAAAAAAATGACTAGATGAATTTAAAATATATTTTCTGATCAGATCTCCGCGATGTTTACTATATTGATGGTCAATATGTCATTATTATCTTTCATGTCACGCCACGTATTATCTATCGTAATGTGTCCCATTGGTACAAGAGTTTAGTTCGTCTTTGTGAGAATATTCCCATCGTACTGTGTGGCAACAAGGTTGATGTCAAAGATCGTAAAATAAAGGTCCGATCAATAGTTTTTCATCGCCAAAACAATCTGCAATACTACGATATCAGTGCAGAATCGAATTACAATTTTGAAAACCGTTTCTCTGTTTAGCTTGGAAATTGATTGGAAACTACAATTTACATTTCGTTACCAAGATCCCAGCTATGATATGCTTTTTTTCCCGTCTATATGTCGTGCTGAAATTTCAGCTTTAGCCATCAAAGCTAATAAAGTTATAAGAAGTGAGTTGAATAGTGAACGAGCAAGCAATTGACTGAGGAAACTATTATGACATTATGGAATCCTAGATTAAGGTTGCAGAAAAATCAATCACATGTGTCGTTGAATAAAAATGAAAAAGTGACGAAAATAAGACGGCACACGATTTTGCCAAAACAAGGATATAATGTAATAAAAATTAATCGTCTTTTTTATGCATAACGGAAAAGAGGTTCCGTATTCATGGAAGAAAATTCATTTCAACTTCGTTCAAGTGTATTGATCTTGATTTCTCAACATTTCTGTATGCTGAAAATATTGGAGTTTTATATTACCTGATGACGACGAAGACTTACGAACTTATGGCGTTATAAAATTATTACCAAAAATAATGTATTTTTTAATAAAATCTGTTTTAATTTGTTGATCATTACTGATATCTAGAATCATTTATTGAATTCGGTTTCTGTTATCTTTAGAAAAGTCAATAGAAGACAATGATGGAGATAATGATCATTGGTGTGAGTATGGGTGTGAATTTTCTCTTCAATCGCACCGACATCTAAATATTCTTAATGAAATAAATACTTAAATATGATTATTGAAGCACAAGTTGTGTCATTTGTTGCTATAGATATGAGAAGAACAAAGTCAGTCATGATTTCCACTTAGAATTGAAAGTGATACAATAGGCTAATTCTTTTTGTGGGAATAAGATGATTGATATCGTCTCAAATCTATATTAAAAACATGTCTAATAGTACACGAACCGGTTCGATTTCGGAAAGAATCAAAGCCGGCACAAGTGTCTGGTCATTAATAATGCTTATTGTTTATGCATAGTCAACTATGGATTCACTATGCATAATTTTTATCAAGTATTACTGATATACAGAAAGATAATGCTCACTAAGTCTTCTAGCTAACGGCAGCATTTCTAGGAGGCCCTCCGATAGTTTCGTTATCATATCTGGAGTAGCCGTGAAACAGCTCTAGGTATTATGGCTAAGAATACGTGATTTCTATCTTGAAAACAAGCCATAGTTGCTATTTCGAAAAAATGTCAATATTTCTACTCTAGCCAAAGTTAGGTAGTCGCTAAAAGGACGCTAGAGCTGCCCATATATAACAGTTTTTCATAAAAGTACTGTTTAAAAATCAATTTCTTTCGTAGGCACTGTTTCAATAGTTCAGGTTCTACCTAAGGCATCGTTATAGCAGTTCATTTGAAGAAATGATTTGAATTTGTTAGTTTTAACTGTTAAAAGTTCAAGTTTCGTGCACTGGCACTGTACTTATTTACCTTGATAGCAGTAAAACAAAGCTTTTTATAATCAATGTTTTGAAAAAAAAAAGTTAAAAACTCAAAAAATTTAAACCGATCAGTGAGGAGTTTTCTATGGAATCAACTTTTTACCGTTACCTTTCATAAATGTGCTTCAATCTGTGGAAACTTTCACGTGACTTTCAAAAGAATGCCTTATCTTATTGTTTTCTCATGTAGTGTTGTTTTGATTAACATAATTTATAAGGGAATCCGTTAACAACAAGGAAAATATCTAATTACATACACTCGTTGCTTTGCTAGAGGAACCAAATATTATCTTCGAAGAATTTTTCATTAAATTTCAACAAGAATTCGTTTTTCAAAATGTTTATTTTAATTAAAAAGCAATAAAAAAATGACAGCCATAGGATTTTATTGAAATCAATAATGTAAATAATCATTTCTTCTATTCACAGCGATTTTTTTTAATATAATTATATGATTCTAGTATTAGAAAACAGACAATGCTCCATTAGTCTTTACACAACAAATGTATTAAATCGATTTTACTTTTCTGTTTATCATATGTATCCTCTGGAAAACAACTAATAAGCAACGGTAATAATAAAAAAATATTGTAGTTTTTGGTTACGATTGCTCTCAATAACAATCTTAACAATCTATTTACATTTGTTTCATCAAAAATGTGTGGCGTAAGAAAAAAGTCATGAACAAGACGAGAACCATTTTGCACTCACTTTTTTTAAATTATTTCTACTTTATTCAAAAGAAAATTTCAAATATACGTATCTTTCTCTCTTACAACACATTAAAATAATAAAATCAATAACTGACAATTGAAGTTTGTGTTTATTTATGTCAAAAGAGACTGCAATAAATGAAAAAACGACAAACATTAATAACATTCATTTTAAATCCAGTTGAGTAAAATGCTGTCTCAATCCGACACATCCACTAAAACAGCTACTTTTAACAAATATGGACTGCATCTAAGATGGCCTCGTATTTGGATAATCATTCTTGGAATAATACTTATTTTTCTTTGCATATGTATAGCTGGTATGGAAATCGGAAATACAATTTACGATTTATATCGATCAACTGCATTTGGAGGATTTATAGTGTTTATACCGCTATTGATCTGTTCTATTTTTGTTCTTATTACTGGTAAGTTGCAATATCTTACTTCGATAGAATCAATACATATCTCTATTAGTCAGTCAATCTGTATCCTTTTTTTTCGATATGCATAAATATTAGAAAGTAAACTCATTAACGCATCGAAAAATTCATTTACAGATATTGTGTTCCGGTATGATTAATGCTTCGAGCAAGCAACTACATAGACATTAAAAAATTTTAAAGTATAGATGTAATGACATTATACACATGAAACACAAAGAAATGTGAGTGAATACATTATTATACCTGTTGAGAGTATTGAAGGGATAGCGAGGAAAAAAAGAAAGCTTAAAATCAATTATTAACATTCGATAAGTGTTTTCTAGTTTCATAACATAATGAAATATACGATTTGATTGTAGAATCATGATTAAGTTTATAATATTGCACCGTAACTAATAAATTTATGATATAAGAAATGCATTTTGAAATTGCAATTAACATCAGCCAATATTTTACTCGACTACAAATGGAGATAGTGAATAAAGGTTTATTTATTGATTTCGGATCGGGCTTCCTTGAGCTAGATATGAAATAATTTTAGATGACCTAAAATTTTGAATACTGAGCAGATTTCGAGTTTACAAGTTTATGTCCACGATTTTTCTTGTTTTTAAGCCTGGAAAACACGTTTAATTCTTCTTCGTATTGCTACAATTTTATGTTTTATTATGATTATACTATGTATTTTATTAATTGTTTATGATATTCTTGTTCTTATTGATCCTACTCGATGTTTCTTTTTAAATTGTGGTAATGCTCAAGTTACATATCAAGTTAATTCAACATATAATGCAACAATAACAGGTTGGCCACTTAATATAACATGGCCCAATTATTTTCAAACTAATATGAATGCTAAAAGAATTTTTCAAAGCATTCAAATACTTTGTGCTGCATTATTTATTTTATTTTGTTCATTATATATATTAACTTATATTATTTATCGAAGAATTAATATCGACCAAGGAACCAATTATAAATCTGATCCACATACATTTGTAAGACATGAAACATTTACAAGTCCAAGAAAACGAACAGATAGTATCGTTCAATCATTTCCACAATATAATCTTAACCGTCTAGTAACAGTATATACTATTGAAGGTCATCCTTCGACAGTGGTTAATTATAGCCATTCTCCAGCACCAACAATAGCAAATACATCTACCCCTCGAAAAACTAAACGAAAAACTGTTGTACGTCCAAGAGCTAATTCCGCAAATTATGATCGTATATGTACACGTTGTATGAAAGAATCACGAATGATCTTAACGACAAATTATCAACGACAAAATTTCTTTTCGCATTTATGCATTAATTGTAATAATGAAATTTTAAATTATCATCGAAAACTACCTCTTATACATTCAGCAGATAACCGTACGTGGAAACCTTAATATTACATATTTAATTGAATAATGTACTGTTTTGTTTTTCTTTTAAATCCATTTTCGTAAATAAACAAATTCACTTTTTCTTCTTGTTTACTTTCTAATATTGGAATAATAAGGGAATTGAAGTTTGACACAGTGTTTTATTCAGGTTTTTTGCTCCGGGAGGGCGAATTTAGTTCTCGGGGAGAAGCAAGCGAAAGTTTTCGCACTTGAAAGTTTTTTTAAGACGATTTCCTTATCTTAATATTTTCCGAAAGATAAAATAGGCAGTAACGATGGAAATACTCCTCTTCTTAACTTTTAAACAGAAAGTTCCTGCACTGTTGAAAAATTTCGAAATAGTGATGTACAACGAGAAAGTTCGACGCTGATTCAAATTACTAAACCATTATCATTGAATTATATTCACCAAAATACGTGTGTGACCGGAAAAAATTCAACGAAAAAATGTTGAAGAAAATATGGATGTGAACAATAGTCCAGAACTTTTTTTTGAAAAATTCTGCCCAGAAATAGAAATACATTATAGTATAGAATGACACTGATTTTCTAATGGAGACCAAACATAAATCAAAGAATAGACAAGAAAAATACTAGTTTCATTCTTTTCGCTCAGCAACTGTAAATAATAAATCATGTACGTATTTCTTAGGATCTCTAATGGCACAATAATAGTGTACACGAGGTTCCCGTGTCATACGAACCGATCGAAAATCATCCGTTAATTCTGGTTATTATTGTGACCCACGGTTAACCGCGGTTATTTCCTTTGTTCTGGAGATTTCACAGCGTAAAAACCGACGGTTAACCACGGCGGACCTCCTGGTTGACCGAAAAAGTTAGCAGTTCTGACCGATATTTCTTCAGTCAATCGGAAGGTTATCCGTCATGTTTTACGCTGTGAAACATTGAGAGGAAAGAAAATGATCACGGTTAACTGTCGGTCACAAAAGTAACCGGAATTAATCGACGATTTTCGATCGGTTCGTACGATATGAGTTGAATCGCAATTGTTATGGCATGTCGGTCTTCCTCCTAAATCGGTGCTAAATAAAACACGCATATGGCGAATTATAAATGACTCAAGCCTATTGAAACTACAGCAGTTGCAGCCATGACAATAGGTTTTTAGTCACATAACAGTCCTTTATAGAGCCCTTTTAATTAATCGATAATAGGCACTTCTCGCCACCATTATAACTGGTTAAAACTCTAGACTAGTAGAGATATATCAAAAACAACGAACTATAATTATTGAGAGTCATCATTTATGGAGAATACTACTTTTTTCGGTATTTGTTTTTCATTGCAATATTGTATGTGATATTTTTCTATTACAGTAAATGATTTTGTTCATTTTTAGTCACATGACATTTTCTGCAAATTTTCATCGAACGAAAAGTTGTATAAATGCTGCACTGATCTTTTTTTCTTTCTGACAGACATTTCAAATTATTCGGAAGGGAGCCAACACAATCTTCGGGAGAGTGTGACCCATCCTGTCCCCACGCTAGATAAAATATTGATCCTATTTTAACAACATTAGATTTATTAACAATTCCTAAAATCTGCCGTAAAAAATAGTTTTAGAACAATTATATTGATTTTTTTTTGAACTTATTTCATTTTTCTCGAGGGGGCAAACGCGGTCTCCGGGGATGGGGAGCAAAATTTCCTATGCCCCCCCCTTCAGTGGATAAAACACTGATGAATGTTTAACCAATAGAAACAGTATGTCATATACTACTATCCTACCATATGAAATCAATTAATTTCTTATTTTTGTTATAAAAGATTGAAAAGAAAATAATCAAGTAATAATGAAACGAAAGTTAGACCTTGTCTTATTAAAGTCTTTCCCTCAAAAAAAAATAGTTATTCATAAAAAAGATGAATTTTGGAATTTTCACATGGTTAGATAGAGCAGAAAAAGCGCTACCAAATGCCATGAAAAGACATTGGACGTAAGGGTGTTTCACTTTCCGTTAATCTAACTTCCACTTTCCAAGTAACAGAAAGAGTCTTAGTCATTGAAAAACTTTCGATTAATTAACAGTAATTTTATTACAAATTCAAGAAAATAGATATACATATATGATTTTGATATGTAAAGTATATAATAGAGGACTATTGTTCACGTTCTTGCTCCCTTTCTTCCTGTTCTGAATAATCATCTTCCATTTCAGCGAGAAAATTGTCAAGTTCTAATGAAGTATCGCTAAGAATATCACTTTGAAATGTAGATGAAGCAGTTACTATTAATTTTTGTATTGTACCACTTAAGTGATTATCTTCTACAATATATCTATTCATAATTGAATGACAATGATTGATTATTTTATTGCAAAGTTCTGCAGTTACACCAACATGTTGGTCACTGTCACTACATAAACTATGTAATGTATCTTCACACAATTTTTGTATGAAGCGACCAAGTTTAGTTGAATGAAATTTGGAAGATTTATTCTTATCTTAAAAAATCTTTTCATGGCATTTGGTAGCGCTTTTTCTGCTCTATCTAACCATGTGAAAATTCAAAAATTCATCTTTTTTTATGAATAACTAAGTTTTTTTTTTTTTTGAGGAGAAGACTGTAATAAGACAAGTTCTAACTTTCGTTTCATTATTACTTGATTATTTTCTTTTCAATCTTTTATAACAATAATAAGAAATTAATTGATTTCATATGGTAGGCTAGTAGTATATGACATACTGTTTCTATTGGTTAAATATTCATCCATTTGTAATGAAACATGAAGAAATAAAATTATTCATCCCCCATTTGATAGGTATTGTATCTATATATGATTGATGTATGATTATGTAGTACAGCTCACCCAGAGCTTATACTATTGATATCGTTTCATTAACAATGAGAAGAAAAGAAAAAAAATAAAAATTGTTGGTATTGTCAGCTATCATATTGATTCGATTTCAACATATATAAAATTTTTCAAAAAAAAAAATCAAAATTTAAGTACTACTTTTTATTGACGAAGACTATAGTACATTTTTTTCTTGCATAGGTCGATAGAGAAATATTTTCGCCATTGACTCCCTACACTGACAGTAATAGTTATTTGTGAGTTTTTTTCAAATATTTTAATCAAAATCTCACTAACTTGACTAATACATAGTACAAGTGATTAAAAACATTTTCACTTCTCGCATATTTCTATTTGAAATGGTTAAAACCGCAGATTGCCGGCTCCTTTCGTTCTTGAAATATTCAAATAATGTTTCAGTTTATACGAAATACATCACATCAATATTTGAATCTTAAAGAACTGTGTTGACAAGCTTTCTGTTCCAATTCTTTAGTCCTTGTTGAACAGAGAAGATAAACATGATATTTTTGTTCTTGTCAAATTATATTTTATATTTTGCAAAATCATGATTTTTAACTATATTATCATATCGAAACAATACAGAAAAAAAAGAATAAACTACAATAATTAAATAAACGTAAGCATTTTAGAAATATAGAAGCGAAATAAAAATAAACTACATTAAAGCAAATACAATAAAATATCTTCTATTCTATAACTATTGTAATTTTGGATCTGCCATTTTTAATTGTTTCATAGGAAATAATTGAAATGTATGTTTCGTATGATGATGTACCAGTGGGTGTTTAAAGATTTTGAGCTAGAAAAAGATGAATACAATTCAATTATGATATTAATAAAATGATAAAGTTCATTCGAACAAACACTTACCGAGGAGATTGTGAAATTCTGCTCGGTCAAGGCTGCCGTTATAATCGGTATCGGCATTAAGGAAAGCAGCATCAGCTCCATTAACAACAGCAGTTGATCCTAATAATCCACTATTCCAACCAGCAAGGTTGCCGTTCCAACCAGCAAGGTTGCCGTTCCA